AATAGGAATTTGTACTCTTTGTGACAGAATAGTATTCCATTGTGTATAGGTACCACACTATCTTTACCCATCCATACTTTGATGGGCACTTAGGTTGATTCTGTTATCTTGGCTACTGTGAGTAGTGCTGCAATAAATATGGGAGAAGTTTATTGCAATTGACATACTGAGTTAATTATTTTTATATATACATTTAGGAGTGGGGTTAGTGGATCACAAGTTAGCTCTATTTTTAATTTTTTGAAAAACCGCCATACAGATTTCTATAACAGCATATTAATTTAAAGAACTTCTTTTCTAATGCAAGCATTTTGTATTATTTTCACAAATTTGGTGTATTGTGTTTTCACTTTCATTTAGTCCAAAATGCTTTCTAATTTTTCTTTTGCTTAAAGATTATTTAGAAGTGTGGTAGTTAATTTTGAAGTATTTTGAGAATTTTCCAGATATCTGTCGATTTCTAATTTAATTTCACTTTGTTTAGACACTTTTAAAATGTGATTTCAGTGCTTCTAAATTTGGTGATCTATGTTTTAAGGCCAAAAATTCAATCTGTTTTGCTGAATGTTTCATGTGGACCTGAAAGGAATTTGTATTTTGTGGTTTTTGGGAGGAACTCTTTTTATCAAATCAGGTCAACTTGGTTGAATGTTGTTACAATCCTGTATATCTTTAGAAATTTTTTATCAGTATGTTCTATTAATACTGATAGAAAAGTATGGATTTTCATTTATAACTGCAAATTTTTCTACTTCTCCTTTTTGTTTGCTTATGTTTTCTACCTGCATTTTGACATTTTGTTATTAGATACTTAAATATATATGATTGTTAGACCCTCTTGAAAAATTGACCCTTGTCATTATGAACTGCCCATATTTTTCCCTGATAATATTCCTTGTTCAGAAATATACTTTCTTATATTGTGGTAGGCAGAATGGTTCCCAGCAAAGAAATTCATGTCCTGAGCTCTGGAACCTTTGAACATGTGATGTTATGTGGCAAAAGGGACTTTCCAAATGTATTTCAGCTTATACTATCCATTTCTATTGTACTCTGACAAATTGCCACAGATGTAGTGTCTTAAAACCACACAAACTTATTATCTCAGAATTCTTTAGGTCAGCATTCTAGGTACAGCATGGGCTTAGTTGGCTCTTCTGCTTAGAGTTTCACAGGTTGAAATCAGAGTGTTAACAGGGCTGCATTCCTTTGTGGAGGCTCTGGAGATTAATCCACTTCCAAGGTCATTTGGGCTATTGTGAAAATTTAGTTCTGTGGATTTGTAGGGCTGAGATTCTACCTCTCCTGCTTGCTATCAGCCAAGAATCTCAACTTCTAGTGGTTGCTTGCATTCTTTGGTCCATGGTTCCTTTCCTTCCATCTTCAAAGCCAGCAATAGCAGGTTGAGTCCTAATCTGAAATCTCTCTGATTTCCACTTTCACCACATCTCTCTGACTTAAGTCTTCTCCCTTCCTGTTCTTCTTCTGAGAACTCATGTGATTACTCTGGGCCCACTTGAATAATCTAGGATAATCTCCCTATTTTAAGGTTAGCTGATTAAGATCCTTAATTCCATCTGTAGAGTTCCTTCACAGTAGAACTTAGGTTAGTGTTTGACCGAATAACCAGAGGACAGGAATCTTTTAAGACATCTTTAGATTTTACTTACCATGGTTAAAATAGGGAAATTAGCCTGATTTATCTAAGTGGGGCTAGTCTAATCACATGAACACATTTTTGGGGGGAGGAACTGGGATTGAACCTAGGGGCGCTTAACCACTGAGTTACATCTCCAGACCTTTTTTATATTTTATTTAGAGACAGGGTCTCTCAGAGTTGCTAAATGCCTCTGTAATCTGCTAAAGCTGGCTTTAATCTCGAAATCCTCCTGCCTCAGCCTCCCTAGTTGCTGGGATTATAGGCATGTACCACTATGCCTGGATAATTACAAGAACTCTTAAAAGTAGAGAACTTTCTTTTCTAGGAAACAGGAGAGATATGGCAGGAGAATTCAGAAAAATTCCAAATATGAGAAAGATTCAATATGCTGTTGCTGGCTTTGATATATAGAGGCCTATAGTATGCAATGGTAACCCCCAACTGATAGACAGCAAATGAACAGGGCTATTTGTCCTGCAATCACAAGCAGCTCAATTCTTCAAAGAATCTGAAATGAACTTGGAAGCAGATTCTGCTCAAAGTCTCCTAGTATGAGCCCCATCAACAGACATCTTGGTTTTTGCCTCTGTTCTGAGACTCGAAGCGGAGAAAATGACCATACCCACTTGGCCTTCTGCCATACAGGTCAGTAATGTTATGGGCCAGGCTATATGGGCAATTACCAAACAGACTCCATTTTACCCTGAGATTCATATTGTGTAAAAAATGTTTCTCCCATGGAAAAGCCCCACCTCTGTACCCATGAATAGTTACCTAGCATAGCATACTTGGCAACACAAAATAGCAATTGTTGTGGTAAAACTACCTGATTACTTGTAACAGTTCCCTCCTTGCTGCAGTAGCAAGAATGGAGTCACTATGGCTATAGGAGCAGGCAGGTATGGCCGTAGGGACTCCATGTCACCTATTCTAGACTCCACCTTAGTTTTTCTGTTACTGCTCTGTGAAGAGACAACTTCAGGACCCATTTCTGAGAAAACAAAATGAAAGCTGTTTTCTGCTAAATTAATATATGTGTGTGTGTGTGTGTGTGTGTGTGTGTGTGTGTGTATGGTCTTCTGTACTTTTTACCCCACAAAATGTACTCAACCCAGGATATGGTGGTCTTGGTGACCTATATGACTTTGAAGTAGATTTTTGCCCCCACTGACCACCTGCTCGATGGTTGTCTAGCACCTTCTCTGACCCAAAATGTGGTTGACTGAGTTGTTCTGCTGACAGCTTTTTTTTTAGCTTCTGTACCTGCTTGCTTACAGCTATGTCAACCTGGATATGGGTTTTGCAGTTTTTGCCCTTATGTATCCTAAAATGCTCAAGCTCAGGGCTATTCCTTGCAGAGACAGTTATGGATCCTATGGAGAATAGTCACCAGCCGGCTGGCTAAATAAAAACTCTCCAATTTGGACAAAACTGGGACTTGTTGTGTTTTCTGAGTGACCTGCCCCACAACAAGTAAGATGATAAATTTGTATTGTTTTAAGATGCTAAGTTTGTGATAATTTGTTACTGCAGCAATAGAAGACTAAAACAGATACTAAGATAGTCACTCCAGTTAGTATTTGTTTTGTACAACTTTTCCCAACCTTTTTAATTTTTTTTAATTGCAGATGGACCCATACCTTTATTTTATTTATTGATAATTATGTGGTGCTGAAAATTGAACCCAGTGCCTCACACATGCTAGACGAACACTCTGCCACTGAACCCCAACCCCAACCCCATCCTTTTGATTTTAATCAATCTGAATTTACAAAGTGGGTTTCTTTTAAGTAGTATATAGTTTTCTTGCTTCTTTATCCAATAGAATAATCTTTGCCTTTAAATTGGTATTTATACCATTTATATTTAACATAGCTGTTGTCAGGGTTAGATTTTCACTACCTTCTTGCTTCATCCTGGAAATCACCTCCAGTCCATAAACTGGGGCAATTCTAGTGTTTATTCTGTTTGTTTCCCCCTCCTCCCTCCGTTCTTCCTCCTTCCTTGTTCTTTACTGCCTGTCACCCAGTGTCTGCAAATGGGGGTTTTATTTATTTTGTTCAGTTCTTTTTTAACATGGGGAGATAAATCCTATTTTTGATATTACATCTAGTCTGTGAGTAGAAATCTTCAACAATATATTTTTTTTCTTTGGTACTAGGGATTGAACTCAGGGACACTGGACCACTAAGCCACATCTCCAGCCCTATTTTGTATTTTATTGAGAGACAGGGTCTCACTGAGTTGCTTAGCACCTCACTTTTTCTGAGACTGACTTTTAACTCATGATCCTCTTGCCTCAGCCTCCCAAGCCACTGGGATTACAGGCATGGACCACCACATTCAACTGTAATTTCTAATTAATATTTTAGGACCTCCTTTATAACAATTCCTTTTTATGTGAGATGTGAGTTTCTCTCTCTCTCTCTCTCTCTCTCTCTCTCTCTCTCTCTCTCTCTCTCTGTGTGTGTGTGTGTGTGTGTGTGTGTTTACTCAGCCCTGGGAAGTATAATACATTTGCCAAAAATGTCTATTCCATATGAACATAGCAGATGGTTGTCTTTTTACAAGTACACTAAAAAAAATGGTGGGCTGGGGATGTGGCTCAAGTGGTAACGCACTCGCCTGGCATGAGCTGGGCACTGGGTTCGATCCTCAGCACCACATAAAAATAAAAATAAAGATATTGTGTCCACCAGAAACTGAAAAATAAATATTAAAAAAAATTCTCTCTCTTCTCTTCTCTTCTCTTCTCTTCTCTTCTCTTCTCTTCTCTCTCCCCCCCCCCCTCCCTCCCTCTCTCTCTCTCTCTCTCTCTCTCTCTCTCTCTCTCTCTCTCTTAAAAAAATGGTGATAGAACTTGGCCATATTCTGAACATGTCAACCTTTTACAGTCTCTGTGCCTTGGTATAAATAGTTCTTCTGCCTAGAATGCTTCCTCGACTTACTTCCTTTCTGCATGGAAGTATCCAAGTATCCTCTGGAAACAGCTCCATAGTCAACACTTCTCTGCTTCTCAGAGCTTCAGACAGAACTTGTATTTCCTCTTCCCAGCTGTTGTAACACCATGCCTGTGGCACCAGTTCAGCAAAGGTCATTCTGTGTTTTAATTATGTTTCTATGTGGACTTCCTCCTACCCGGAAGCCCTAGAAGACAGGGAACTTACTTTAGTCTTCTTTATGTTTCTCTTATCCCCAATAAAATATATCTGCTATCTATCTAAAACTTTTCAATAAATGATTGTTTAATTAATGACATTTTATGTACTAAAATATATTGCTATTACTCCATCCTATTTGTGAAGGTGAATCCCCTTTAATCATTTTACTTTTCTCCTAGTAAATTCCTCATCTATGCCTGTCTGCTGCTCTTCTCTGTGCTGCTGGCCCTTCGCCTGGATGGCATCATTCAGTGGAGTTACTGGGCTGTCTTTGCTCCAATATGGCTGTGGAAGTTGATGGTCATTGTTGGAGCCTCAGTTGGAACTGGAGTCTGGGCACGAAATCCTCAATATCGGTAATAGTGCTTTATAAAACCCATTGGTCTCTATCCTAAGGATATCTTGCTTTTCTTCACTTTTTTCATATTGTGAAATAATTAACATTTAAAAAAATTATTGTTCTGTTTTCCTCACTTTTGATAAAATGAGAACCATTCCTTTTCTACCTATTTTGGGTTTTATAAGAACTATAGTACAGGCAAACTGAGAACCCTTTAGTGTTTTTTTTTTTAATTGGGTGTTTGGTATTTATTTTCTTAAAAACGCAATGCTAGTTTGATTGACTAAGTGCCGAGCCAGCCCACAAGTGCCTAAATAATCCAAAAGGAAACCAAACTACAGAATTTTTATGCCACAGGTGACTAAACATAGTTCTGGCCTTGATCAACAGGGATTTGACTTTATCCAGATAACTTTTGGAACTATGGCTCCCCTTGTCCTACTCTCCTAGCACTGGGGTTTTAGGACTGTTAATGACTTCTGGAAGGTGGTTTGGTGGGAAGACTGTAAGTCCTTTAGATGGGAGCTGGGGAATGAGAAAAGTTGAGAGTCATGTTGAGAAGGAAGACAGAGTTTTGGGGGTCACTAGAGCCGGGTACAGCCAATGTTACTGAGCTCTGTGAGAATATTTTTCTTCTCTTTCACAGAGACTGGAACTTCTTAAAGAAAAAAAAGGGTGTAATGGGATGTGGGGGCTATTTGGAAAGTGAAGCAATGCCCAGTAGGCAAGTAGGGAGGGGAGAAGGAGGTACAGGCTGCTACTCCTGGTTGAAGAGTATAGAAATTGGGGCCCCTTCAACTTTTAAAATTATTGGTTATGAACTATAACAAGAAGATTTAGATGATGTAAGTATTATCTCATATGTATCTAGGAGCTTTAAAATAGCTACACAAAGAGCCTTGGCAAGTCAGGGCTATTGATGTGTAGCTATTTTAAAGTCCTTATATCTTTCAAAAAAGATTGATTACCTATATGGCTGCACATCTTTTCCTTTTTATGAGATAGTATTAGATATTTAATGTTTATTCCTGAAATAATTAAAAGTTAACTATTATTTTAGCTTTCAACAATTGATATTTAGAAGCTTTTTGAACTCTAATCTGTTGTTTTAAGACTTTTTGAGCAAGGAAAAGAATTATGTGTTTGGTTAAATATATGGAATGTATAGATATGGTCATTCCAGTGTTAACATTAACTGGTGGAACACTGTTGGTTCTAAGGGAATAAGCATTGACCTTGTTTTCTCTGTGTTCTAATCTCAGATGTGTTTATCACTGACAAGACATGTATATCAGAATGTTCGTGTATATTTTGACTAAATATTGTAGGTCTTTTAAATGCATTATAAAGCATTTCTTGATTTGTGGCTTTACCATTTTTCAACTGTTAATGTATTAAGTTTGTGCTTGAATTGAATTAGCTAATTGAACTAATTTTGTTTGAGAACGATTTTAACTATTTTGTTCCTTATCTTTCATCTGTAGGTTTTAATACATCCTAATGGAAAAGAAAGGAAAATAAAAAAAAAACATTTAAACTTTTAATTTGTATTTTAAAGTAGCACCTAACAAATAGTTACCATATCTTGTTGAGAATAAACCACACTTGTTCATAAATAAAGCTAGATTTATTTTTGTAGTATTGCATGAAATGTGATTTATATGGCTTTTAATTCAATGACAAATGAAAAGCATAGACTGAAGAGATGTTTGTCATTTTTTAAAAGTAGAAGCAATCAGTATAAATAATCTTAGAAATAATTCTTGTAGTTGAATTTAAAGTTATGAACAAAATTATATTATACATTGTCTGAGAAATAATTGTGGCTATTACTTCTGTGAATATCTTTCTAAAGATCAGGTTTAACTTAGCTTTCTACTTGATTTTCATTTTCTTTTTGACAAATTTATAAGTAAAATTCAAAGTGCCAGCATAAGTTGGTATTCACCATGGATTGCTTGCTTATAAATGGAGATTCTGAACTGAGGGTCTTTTGTCTTTTTCTTCTTCTCTCCCTTTTTAGAGCAGAAGGAGAAACGTGTGTGGAGTTTAAAGCCATGCTGATTGCCGTGGGCATCCACTTGCTCCTATTGATGTTTGAAGTTCTGGTCTGTGACAGGATCGAGAGAGGGAGCCATTTCTGGCTTCTGGTCTTCATGCCACTGTTCTTTGTTTCTCCAGTGTCTGTTGCAGCTTGTGTCTGGGGCTTTCGACATGATAGGTCACTAGAGGTAAGAGTTAATACATTTAAGAATGTTTTCAAAACAGTCGTTTGAATGTCAGTGTCTTGCCCCTTGTTAGGAAGAGATTGATTGTTAACTCTAGATCATGCCATATGTGGCAACAAAATACAATGGAAATAATTGTTTCCTTTCTTGACACCAAAGTGTAGCTGTCCTCTGCCAGGGCCATTAGCCTTCTCCCAACTTCCTGTTTTCCAATCCACTTGCATCACCAAGGCCTCTACAGAGATAGAGAACTCATAAGATAGATATAGGTATAAAACAATAGATTTTAGCTGAATCTAGTGGTGCAAATCTGTAATCCAAGTGACTCAGGAGGCTGAGGCAGGAGGATCACAAGTTCAAAGCCAACTTTAGCAACTTAGTAAGACTCTCAGCAACTTAGCAAAATCCTGTCTCAAAACGTCAAGAAAAAGAATTGGATTTAGCTCCATGGTAAAGCACCCCTGGGTTCAGTCGCCAATAACAACAACAACAACAACAACAACAAAAAGATAAATTTGAAGGACCTGGCATATACACAATTGTGAGATTGGCAAGTCTGAAATGTCTAGAGACTTGATAGGAGATGAGACTGCAGTCCTGAGGCAGAATTTCTCTCTGGAAAACCTCAGCGTTGCACTTAAAACATTCAGCAGTTTGGATGAGGCCCACCCACATTACTAAGTGCAATCACCTATATTTTAAATCAATACCTTCACAGCAACACCCATTTTAAAGTTGGATTAAATAACTGGATACTAGTTGGGCACAGTGGCACATGCCTATGATCCCAGCAGCTTAGGAGGCTGAGGCAGGAGGATTGCAAGTTCAAAACAGCCTTAGCAACTTAGTGAGACCCTAAGCAACTTAGCAAAACCCGTCTCTAAATAAAATATTAAACATGCCTGGGGATGTGGCTTAGGGGTTAAGCACCCCTAGATTCAGTTCCTGGTACCAAAAATAAAATTACTGAGTACTATAGCCCAGCCAAGTTGATTCATAAAGCTAAAAATCACACTCCAAAGCCCAGACCCTGTACACATAAGCTGAGGGCCCAAAGCTGTGAGCTAATGTGTTGAAGAGATACTGGAGACAGTGCAGGAGGCCACCTTATCCACGGTTTCACTTTGCTTGATTTCAGTTACCTGTGATTAGCCAATGTCCAAAATAGACTACAATAACATTTTAATAATATAGTTCATTACTTTTATTACAATATATTATTAGAATTGTTCTATTTTATTATTAGTTTTTTATTAATCTTTTGCTATGCCTAATATATAGAGTAAACTTTATCATATGTATATATATATTGGGGAAAAAAACAGAGTATGTCATTTTGGCACTATCTGTGGTCTCAGGCATCCTCTGGGAGTCTTGGATCATAACCCTGTGAGTAAGGGAGAAAAACTTTAGGTGCCTTGTGGAAAAGAATTATAGGAAGGAGACTGATATTGGTTTGGAAGGGAACATAGGAGCTGTAGGGTAAGCCTTAGCTTTAGGTGTACTTTTACCCCAGGTGTAGGTTTGAGAGGAAATTGCCGAGAGAGAGAGAAGTGCTGATGGAACAAGGCACTGTGAGACCCAGAGGGAACAGAATTAAGAAAACCAGGAAGGGCTTGGCCTTGAAAGGGGTGATCTTCCCCTCTAGAACTGGCAGAAACCTTAGCATTGGATGTGACTGATGGGTAGATGTGGACTATGAAAATAGGTACTTCTCTCAGCCCTACCCTCACCACCCTTGCAGTTCCCTAATCGTTTGACAAGTCAGCTACTTCTCTTCTGCACTGCTTCTCTCTGGCTGATTGCTGGGGACTGCTAAAGAAAGTCACCTGACTCATAGACTAAGTAACCATCTTGAGCCAGACCATGCATTAACAGGGCCATAGCAATCAGGCCCCCAAAGGGTAAAGATTGGTTTGGGGATAAAGGTGGGGAAGGTCTTACTTCTCACCCATGGCCTGCTTGGGAGGGAATAAGTAACCCTTGATGGTGTGGGCCTCCTGGAAATAAGTGTCTGAAGAGGAGTATTAAGAAATAATACAAAAGACACGAAAAATATTTTTTAAAGTAAGAGCTTGGTGGGTGGAAAAGACCTGATGGGTCTGAGCCTAACAAAGAACATAAGCCTGCCAATCTTTATTTTATAGGGGAACACATCAAAGGACTTTGTGGTTAGGAAGGGTTCTGTAAGATACACAAAAAGCAAGAGGCTGTGGGAAGTTGGCCTGGTTGGGGCCTTATCACTTGCACAGTAATTCTTCCTCCTCCAGGCAGCTGGTGCCTCAAGGCTATTTAGGCCACACTGATATCTCTTTTACCCAAGGCTAGCAGGCATATAAACTCAAGGCCATGAACTCATGAATTCCATGCCTGGAATGAGCCCCATTAACACCCATTAACACCTGCACCTGCAAATGGGAGTGACTTTCTACATCTTTGCATGGAAAGATTCCAAGATGCTGCAGTCAAGCTGTCCAAGGCTATGGAGTTCAAAGCAATAATTTATTTGTCACTCCCAACACTTACTCTATGAATAAAGTGCAGGCATTCATGCAGTACATTACCTACCAAATATCTGTGGTATTAAAATTTCATGAGGGGTACAATTAGAAAACAAATTTATAATGTGGCTTCTTGGAATGCAGTAATTAAAATGAAGTTTAGCAGCATTGAGCAGACCCTCATGGTATCTGTGCAGCCTGGTAATATCCGTATGTGTCTCGTATTCCAGGGCCATTCACAAACACTCTGCCCATCTGAAAGAGCAGTCTGTTTTTTTCCTTCCCTTTTTGTGGACATATCCGTTCAGTGCTCTGGATCTTAGCCAAACTTTCACCAACTTTGCTCTCTGTCATCTGAAAAAGAAAAAAAAGCAGCTAGAGCAAGCCCCTCTGAGGCCTGGGTTCCACTCTCGTGCTTTCTCCTTCCTGTTCACAGGCGAGCTTCTTGAAATCTGCTATTCTATCCTTAGTGCTCTGTTCCTTTCTCCTGATCTCTGATCAGCTCTGTTTTCTGGGACCTGGCATGAGTGCCCAAGGCCAAGTTCCAGTGGGCATCAGGTAGTCCTCGTCTTTTTCGTCCTGGAGCTTCCAACACTGCAGAGTGTTTCTTGACTGGCATTTCCCTGGCTTCTGATCCTTGGACCCTCTGGCTGCCTCTGGCTTGGATTCCTTTGCTGAGTTCTTCCTCCCCCTACTCCTTATGAATTGCTGTTTCTTAACATTTCTCTTTCTCCTCACTATTCTTACTTAATTGGAATGGTCTTCTTGACATGCCTGCTTCTGCTAACCCTCAGGAAGCTATTGTCACCTAAATTCCTATTTCAGAACTCACTTTTCTGCATCAGCTCAAGATTTCTTATTTAGCTTCACCCCAATCTGTCCTCCCTCTTGGACTCCAGAGTAGCTCATATGTGACTAGAGCATAAAGATGGAAGTCCACACTTCTGGGGGAAAGGAAACCTGCACACAGGTGTGGGGCTAAACAAGCTACACCCTCATCGCTCAAGGCATGCTCCAGGCACCTTAGCGTACTCAAGGAGCACCAAGGATAATGGACACTTTGAAGGAAACACTGATCCTTGACATCTGTTGGGATACCACACAAACCACTACCTAAGTTTTATTTGTATTATTAGTTCACACCCATTCCTTTTGAATACTGTATCTTTAGAGAGCTGAGTTTTTGGCAGTTGCTATGATTAAAAGCTAGCACTAATGGGAAAATGCAGCAGAAGAATGGGTAATGAAAATGGAAGTGCCATATCTAATTCCAAGATTTGGGAAATTGTGCACCACCTAGTAGGCACAAAATCTCAGTAGGAATGTTTTGTGTGCTTTTTAAAAATAATATAATTATATTTTTCTTTTGACTTAGGTGATTTATTTATTTTTCAAATGGATTAGTATGGAAATACTAAATTTATACCTAATTTCCTAATTCAATGGAACTATTATTTATTTCTTTTGGCCAAGAGATCTGTGAAAGAATTACAAAGTCACCAAATGTCCTATGGACTGAGAATTTTGGGGAATCTCTGGGCCAGGTCACAGATTTTTGTTCTATAGACAAAGACAAGGACTTTCTCCAAAAAGAGGAGCACCCCAGAGGCCATTTGAACAGAGGGTCATCCAGCTAGAGCTATGAAAGTGCTTTGCGGGGTTGATGACATTGGAGGCCTAGTGAGGTAGTCCTGATCAGGATAAAGAGTGGGGGGCAGGCTCAAGAGAAGTTTAGATAGGAGAATGGACAGGTGCTGGTGACTGAATATGAGTGTGGGGGAAAAAACAGAGGGCACTTCCCAGGTTTGTGATTTGGGGAATCAGGATGCTATGGTGACTTACAGTTAAAGAAAGGAGAAGGACAGGGTTTAAAGTGCTGGGGGTAACAACCTCAGTTGGGGACCAGCTTCATTCATAATGCCCCTAGTAAAGCCTAGTTCCTAGTGACATCTGTTGCAGCTGGGTCTGATGCACAGCAGGAAGGCTAGCCTGGAGATAGTTTTGAGAACCGACCACTAGGCCGTAATACAAGCTGGGGAGTGACTGAAACTTCTCAATACCCAGAATGGAGTGAATGAAAAGGCTGAGTTTTAGGTTCTGAGTAGCATCCGAAAGAACCTAAGAAAGAAGTGTCAGAGCGAAGTGTCAGAGCACTTAGAGGGAATCCTTGAAGTTCTGAAGGAGAGGTACAAAAAGAAAGGAATAGTCAGCCATAGCATATGTGAAGAGACATTTAGGAGGATGTGAGTGTAAGTGTTCTGCTGCCTCCTGGTATTGGTGACATTGATGAAGGCAGTTTCCTGATGGGGTGGTGATGTAGGCAGAGGCCAGATCACATGGTGGGGGGGATTAGGATGGTAGTAAGGCAGTAGGGGCTCATATAACCATTTCTTTCTCACAAAGCTGGGCTCTAGTAGAAAAAGGAAGTAAGGCTGAGAGGGTTACTGAATCATGGGAGGTGGGATTATTTGGAGTTGGGGTTGCTTTTGCTTTTAATGGGAAATGTTTAACTTGTTTCTTGCTGGAAAGCATCAAGGACATAGGTAAGATAAATGATGCAGTAAAAAAAAATCTATAATTAATGGCTTGATATGACAGGGTCCTCAAGGAGCTGAAAAGGAAGGTATGGGATGTAGGGCTGAGTCCTGGATATAAGAAAAAGGAACTATAAGGGTGGTTACAAATAGAGATGATTGTAGATAGGGACAGGAAGGAAGCATGGGGGGTCCACTTTGGATTGCCTTTCTTTCTCACTATACCTAGAAACAAGATCATCATTGAGCCAGCAATGATCAGGCCTTTACTCACAAAAAGGCCAGGGCAAGCACTAAGCAGAGGGATGAGGTAGGAGCACATTTCTCTTTGGTATAGCATTGCTGTGCTCTTCTCGTGTGGAAAATCAGGAGTTTCCAATGTAATGCAATATAGTTTTACTGTATTACAGTTTGCATTGCCTTTTATAACTTTTTTTAATGTAGTATTGAATGCAACTTATAGTTTAACCAATTCTTCTCTTCATTTGTAGTTAGAAATCCTGTGTTCTGTCAACATTCTCCAGTTTATATTCATTGCCTTAAGACTGGACAAGATCATCCACTGGCCCTGGCTTGTATGTAACTTTTTAAATCCTTAAATAAATGCTTTCATTATAAAAGTAATTCGTGTTCATTGTAGGAAACTTGGAGAAGACAGACAAGTATAGGTAGTAAACTAATAATCACCTATAATACTGTTACTAGGAAATAATATGATTAGTATTTTATATTCCCTTCTTTTATATAAAAATTATACTGCATGTAAAGTTTTATATCCTGATTTTTTATATAAATTCAGTTGATTCATTCTTCAGTTATATCTATAATACTATCATTTATAAATAATTCTGTTGTTGCCAGTGTTTGCAGTTTTAACACATGCTGCATTGGCAATATACATTTACATTTACATATATGTGTGTGTAAATATATATATATATATATATACACACACACACATACACACATATATCATATATATATTCACATATATGTATTTAAGTTTTTAAAAGTTTTAATTGACACATAATATGCATAGTTAGGGGTGCAGTGTGACATTCCAATAGTGTTTACAATGGATAATGATCAGATCAGTGTATTTGGCATGTCTGTTACCTTAGATAGTTATCATTTCTTTGTGTTGGGAACTGTCAGATTCCTCTACTAGCAGCATGAAATAGTCAATCCATTTTTGTTAACCATAGTTATCTTACTATACTATAAACATTAGAATTTTATACTCCTGCGTAATCTGAAGTATATAATTTGATGCATAAAAATTCTTGTCCGTATGTTTACTCTCTCCTTAGGAATTTCTCCAGAAACAGTATTACTGGGCTATAGGGTTGGAGATTTTTAAGATTCTTAAATACAAATATTATGCTGCCACCTTGCTTTGTCAAAAACCTGTACCAGTTTACACTCTTGCTAGGGATGGGATCATAACTCAAGCTTCTAAACTGTGTTTTCATTTAATGAGTATCAGGTTAAAATTGACTGTGAATGAAGGTGTGCATGTGTGGATGGAGGGAAGGATACACAGGTAAATTGCAAGCCACAAATTAGAGAATGTAGTGTTGTTTCAACTAGTGAGTGCATAGAAAGAAGATTGGGAAGAAAAGGCAGGAGAATTCCATGGCTTCTGGGACATGCTTTTATTTTACCTGCTGCTTGATTGTGCACTTTTGCATACAATACCAAATAAAACATATAGTTAAAAAAGAAAAGTATTCATTTCAGTACATGGAAGAAAATAAGGGAGCATGGACTCCAAAGTATAAGGAAATAAGATTTAACTCTTTCACTCAAAGTCTTTGATAAAACGTAATGAAAAATGTTGCTTAGGCATCCATCCTACATCTTCAGGGTGATACATCTAGAAAATGGTAATCTGATCGAAAACTGCTTCCAACCAAGACAAAGCTCTTAGCATAAGGTACAATCAGGAAAAAAATAGATTTGGAATTTGGAATATATTTGCACAAGTGAACACAGGGATTTTAAACCCTCAATCCTGTATAGCTTCTAGTGCATGAAGCAGTCAGATTACATATCTCCCAAGTGAAAGCAAATGAGGCTGTTAAGATCCCTGTCATGCCACCCATGAAAGGAAATCCAATAAATAAGTCATCACAGTTGTACTTTAGAAGGAGAAAGACAAACTACATATAGTTTTTAGCAGAACTTACAATCAAGAACTTCAAGCTAATCAAGAAGAGGAAAAAAAATCATCTATCAATTAAAAATAATAGATCTAAAATTAAAATGTACACCTCTAGAGCTATTAGAAGAAAAGATAGGACAAAAATTTTAGGGCCTACAATTAGGTGAAGAGTTTGTAGAAATGGTGCTGATAGGGCTGGGGCTATGGCTCAGCAGTAGTGCACTTGCCTGGCATGTGTGAGACACTGGATTTGATTCTCAGCACCACATATAAATAAATAAAGAAAATAAAGATCTATCAACAATTAAAAAAAAAAAAGAAAAGAAATGGCGCCAATAATGTGGTTCACAAAACAAAGAAAGAGAAATTCAGAATTCCTAAAATTAAAATGAAATAAAAGACAAGTCACAGACTGGGAGACATATTTTTTAACTATCAAAACTTTTTTTGCATTCAAAACATAGGAAGATTACTAAAAAAAAAAAAACCCTCAACAATGAGAAAACAAACACCTGATATAAAAATTGACAAAATTGTGAATTGAACAGATAATTTACAAAGAAGATATATACATGATTACTACGCATAGGAAGATGCTCAATACCATTACCTCTCAGGGAAAGGGACAATAAAACCATGGTGAGGTCCTTCTACACGTTAATCACAGTGATGAAAAAGAAAATCTGGCAATAGCAAGTGCTGGAGATACTGCAGAGAAAGGGACATATTCCTGCATTACTGCCAGGAAAGCAGGACTGTTTAGGCACTCTGAAAAGTAGTCTGGCAATTTTTATATAGTTAAACATGTACTTACCATGTGATCTAGCACTACAAATATAAAGCCACACAAAAACACAGATATAAAGCCTTATAGTGGCACTGATTGTGATACCAGGAGTTAGAAACTAACTTCAGCAAGTAGTGTGATAAACTGGTCATCCATACAGTGGAATGTCATAAACAATGAAAGGGGACAACCTATGGCTATATGAAGAGCTTAGATGAATTCCAAAGACGTTATGCTAATTGGGAGAAGCTAGTCTCAAGTACTTGGTATATAATCCCATCTATACAATATTCTCATTTAGAAAAACAAAAACAAAAGTACAGTGACTAAAAAGAGATCAGTAACAGATCAGGGTTATGATGGGGTGATAAAGTAACAATGAAATGAGCAACATAAGGAAGTTTTCTAGGGTGACAGTACTATTATATGTGCCACCTACAGCTATACATATGTACAGTTGTTAGAAATCATTAAGTGTATGCCCCAAACCAATCAGCTCTATTGTATGATCCCTAAGGAAAGAAAGGAACAAGGGAAAAGTAGCCTGAGGGGTCAGGGTAGGAGGGTGGGGAGATGTCAAGGGAGGCTGGCCAGGCTATGCGCCCAGGGCTTCTCCTGTGGGCTCAAGTGTGGGTGAGGCAATGTCATTCTGCTGGGACCAGTACATGCAGACACAGAGCAAGCCTGGCATGGTGGCAAGGTTGGAGTAGCGCGATGCAGCCAGCGTGAATCTGCCAAGGTCACTAACTTGGAGGGGGTATAGGATCTCTAGAAGCCTAGGCGGCTAAAGGTGCTGGAGGACATGGTCCTGCCGCAGAGGCAGGAGGGGCCGGACTGCATGTGCGAGGGAGGGGAAGTGGGAGTGAGTGGGAAGCAGGGACTGGGACACTGAGCACAGGAGTCCTGAGTGAGGGAGTGGGGATTGTGAGTGAAGACTAGGAACCCAGAGGCCAAGGCCCAGAAGCAACACCTTCCCCCAAAGAAGAGGCGCCTGGGACATAGTGTATCCTGCAGCAGGCCCCGTGGTGAACATGCTACAGGTTTCTTTCCCATGCTGCCCTCACAGCAGTGCTGGGCAATGGGACTGTCCTCAGTCAGGCTTGCACTGTCTTAACTGAGAGACCAGCAGGGTGATGACAGTGGCACCCACTGGAGGTTGGGCAGAAGCTCTAAAGACATCTCCTTTCTGCTTCTCCCCGCAGGTGGTGTGTGTGCCCCTGTGGATCCTCATGTCCTTTCTGTGCCTCGTGGTCCTCTATTACATCGTGTGGTCGGTCTTGTTCCTGCGCTCCATGGATGTGATTGCAGAACAGCGCAGGACGCACATCACCATGGCACTGAGCTGGATGACCATCGTCGTGCCTCTCCTTACTTTCGAGGTAAGCACCTGGGAAATCTGTCCAGCCCCCAAGCCCACCCTCCCCCATGACGACATCCTGCCTACCTGGAAAGGCAGCCTGCCAGCCCTTGACATGGCGGTGTGCCCCGTGGAGGTCTGCAGAGAAGGGCAGGGACATGGCCAGGTCCTCTCTTTCTCCTAGGCACGGGGCAGAGAGCCGTGCACCTCTCCAGCCACCATGCATCCGGAGGCGTGCACCTTCTGCTTTTAGGAAGGGAGAGTTTGAAGTCATCACTATGTATTGGAGTCCTGTAGAGAATTCTACAGTGGACACAGTTGGCTCCTTACAACCAACACCAGGAATGTTTCCCATGAAACCCCTGGTGGTGACAGTTTTCCAAGTGGATGGACTTTTGCTTGGTCCCGAACAAGCAGGCCAGCGGGCACCTGGTTGCTCCCCACAGGAAGCATGCATTTCTGCCGGTGGTGACAGTTTTCCAAGTGGATGGACTTCTGCTTGGTCCCGAACAAGCAGGCCAGCGGGCACCCGGTTGCTCCCCACGGGAAGCATGCATTTCTGCCCTTGCCATGTGACTCTCCCTCTTCCGAGACCTAATAAGGGAGGAGGTGTGTAGTGGGGCAGCTTCAGACTTTGTCCCTTTCCAAGTGACACATTGACAGGACCCTGACTGTGTCTCTTTCTCCAGATCTTGCTGGTTCATAAACTGGACGGCCACAATGCTTTCTCTTGCATTCCAATATTTGTGCCCCTGTGGCTGTCGTTGATCACACTGATGGCAACCACATTTGGACAGAAGGGCGGAAACCACTGTACGTACTCTGTGCCTGAGAGGCACTGGAGGGGTGTGTGTGTGTGTGTGTGTGTGTGT